AAATACAGGCCATTCACCATTTCTCTGATCCTCGTCTAAATCCTCCATCCAGATAAACAGCAGCCTCTGAGCCTTATTTAGCCTTTAACTTTCTGCAGCTCACTCTGCTTTCATGCAAATGTCAGAGCAGATATCATCAGAGTCACCACCAAGTTTCATTTTCGTTCGCTGGAGCCAGAACAGAAGACATCTCCAATAAAAATCCCTCAGCAGTAAGAGGCGGTGAAGTGTGCTTCACAGACAGATTTAATATCAATACATTGTTTAATTTTCCAGCGCGCTTTTTTCCTCCGTCTTCACAATGGGAAAAGGTCTGCTCGTGGTCGCGATCATCCCGCCTCGGTGTTTGGAAGCCATTACTTCATAACCGCAGCAGGCGAGGCCAGAGCCCGCGTCCTGGCGTTCCCATTATTACCCGTGAGTGACTGATTTGACCTCCTGTGGAAAAGTGATGAAGTCGGTAACGCGGCGCACAGCTGTGTTTGTTTCAGCGTTTGATGCAAACGCGACATTAAAGGGAAAACCTCCGCTTAAACATCTGTCGGCTGCTTCGTCCTTTTCGGGGGAAATGATGCGAAGCTGCCTTGTGCGGCTTTAAACTGAAAGTCACTCTGAGCCCATTTGTTCTGAAGGCCGGGCCACCTTCCAGTGGGGCCGGCTCTTCTGTGGTTTCCTGTTACAATCCTGAATTCGGGCCGCGGCCCCGTTTATATCCAATTTATGCTAAAGAGAGGTGCAATCAGTCTCAGTGAGTCTGCAGGGCTGCCGCTGTTGTCAGGGGCAAATTATGGGCTGTTTAAAGTGGTTTGTCATCACGGAGCTGAACTCTGTGCTGCATGCCGTCACTCGGGCCTATTGTGAGCAGCTGTGTTGCTATAGTCACTGTGGTCTTTTTGAAGAGGGCGTGCACATGCACACACGGGCTAACACGCCAACCGCACAGCGTGCACACACACGCACACACGGGTCATGCAGGAAAACTAATGCAGGGATAATTATGTTCTGTTTTTACAGCTTGAACTCTCCTATCGGAGGAATTTGAAGTTTACCACTGTTTCTGAACAGAAGGTTTCAGGTGCTGACAGATGCTGCCTCTCAGACCTGCTCAGAGAGACGGTCCATAAACATCAAAAACCTGCTCAGGATCTTCTGCTGCACCTCTGACCGGCTTCTAGCTCGGCTGCAGAGCACGCCTGATCCTAATCCTTGATTTTCAGTTCTGGGAAGTGGGTTGTGTGCAGGCGGGAGCGTCAGGAGCGACTCGTTACCTTTGGGGTTGGAAACTGTGGATCCTCTCAGGAACGATCCAGCACACGAAGGCCGCGTCGGCTTAAGAGAGAAGTTGTTTGCATAAGTTCAGGTGGTGTGATCTGAGAGGA